CACACACACACACACACACACACACACTTATACTGTTCATATATATGCTGTATACATTACACATTTGAGAGGTGAACCAGCACTGAGACATGAGAAAGCTTTGATGGTACCAGTTGCATGTACGACAGTAACATGAAGCAGTGATGAAGATTGTGATTAACTGAAGTATTTTTACTGCTCACGTTCTGCTGGTAATATTTAAACTGCACACTTATGTACAGTAGGTGAATATTGATATCTGACAGTTAGCAGCATTACACAAAAACTACAGGACGGACTTCCAGGATCTTGAAGGATGTAGTACAAGTCAAAGAAGTTTCTGAGTTTCCCGGGAATATTTCACGGACCTTGATGAAAACAACACATTGCAGTATATTTGTGAACCTCATCGCTGTGCAGCTTGTGCCTGGTTAAACTCTGATGTATACACTATGTATTATGTATGTCTGTACTCACATATACACAGAGTATCATGAATTATATACATGTGCAGCCTGCTCACTATAAATAGTCTTTCTACTGTTTACCCTTCTAAGACAAAAGTATTTTTCTTCATTACTTTTAAATTTGAATTATCGGTAGCGAGCGAATCATGGAAACTCGTCTTCTGTCAGTTTCTCAGTCAGCGTACGTTCATGTGTTTTCAGGGCGGAGCTTTGATGAGAGGGCCAGTCGGAGGAGGAGGGACGCATCGTAAAGTTTTCCGGGATTAACCAAACCCTTTGATATCGCATCAGCATAAATCCACAAGGTTACGGATCTAATAATTTCATGAAGCAGAAAACAGCCGTTTATAAATTTAAACAACAGACATGTCTGTTCTCTCCTCAGCTTTAACTGCACCTCCAGAGCTTTTCCTGTTGACGCTCTGCTATCACACAACACAGATTCATTAGCGTCCAGACACACACAAACACACACAAACACACACAAACACACACACAMACACACACACACACTGCTGGTTACGAAACAGCTGTTGAGTCGAAGGCTCTGCATGTATCTGAGCAGCGAGAGAGCAGCTTACATAAATACTTGATAATATCTGGATTGCTCTCAGTCTGAAAATATATAATCCTCCTTGTTAGACTCACTCAGCATGAGGGTGGAGCGAGGGAGAGAAGAGAGGAGGAAGAGAGGGATGATGGATGGAAGAAAAACTGTCAATGTGAAATGGATCCGGAGGCTGAAGCACGTCGTGGTTTTAACCAGATGAAACAGTGTGAACAGCTACAGCTCTGACAGCGCTTGTTATCTAATGTCACGTCATGTTCACGTCACCTCAGCAGAATAATCAATGAGAAGGTACAGAGACTCTTCCAGGACGGTCACCAGGTAGTTCAGCTCCTTCTTATATAAATACAACTTCCGTTGAATGAAACAATTGTACAAACGTTAATATTATCATTATGTGTAACACTGACACAAGTTTGTTGACATCAGTTCTCATATTGTGAAAGAAAATATATAGTCGATGTCAGAAACTCGTTCACGTTGGCATGGCCGTTAGGCAACACACCCTCTGGAGGGCAGCGCAGAGTCGAGAGTTTCTGACAACAACAAACGTGGCGACGGTGGACCAACGATTTTAAGTCGATGAATGTTCCTGTGACTTTAGTGTCAAATCTGTCCATCAGAAATGTCGGTCTTTATCTTTTGCACGCTCTGTGTCATATCTATTTCCTGCTGAAAAGGAAGTGATGCCTTCTATGTTTCCGGTGTTTAAAAAGGGAAAGAGAAAGCGGGTCAGTGAAAACAGCGCCACCTACAGAAAATCAGAGCAAATGAAACAACTTTTGTCTGAACAGTGAAGGGTGCTATAAAAACAAAAGAGCAACCAGCTCTGAAACGAAGGTTTGTCAATTTAAACAAAATGACGTAAAGAGTCAGAAGGTCGAGGTGCAGATTTGGATCCTGAGAGAGAACGTAAAGAGACGTTTGTCTTTTGTAGCTGCTGCGTCCTCCTGTACTCACTTCTCTTCTTCTTTGTTAATGGGGAATATTAATTTCCTGTATTCCATCTTTACTGGATTAATATTTGATGATTTAATATGAGTCGGAGCGTCTCTTCCTTGTCTCCAGCCGGGCTCCGCTTCAGTTTTTGTCTCTCCACTGTTTTAAATGTGATTTCCTTCTGTCTTCTTTTCTCTTTGTCTATTGTTTCTGTCAGTCTTTTTTCTTTACTCCTTTATCTTCATCTCCATTCCTTCCTTATTGTTCTTCCTTTCCTTGTTTATTGTAAATATCGTATATATATGTTTTATTTTCTTTCTCCCTCTCATCTCTCTCGTTCAGTCTAGTGGCTTCTCGACCAGATCCCAAGGTTTACGTTCAGTTGTTTCCAGGAGTGAGAGGCCCAACGTGGATCTAGGAAATGCCAACCAGCAAACACACTCACCACGTCAGAGCAGTGTTTTCTGCTGTTGTATCATGTAGTTGTGTGCGGCACTATTTGAAAAGTTTTTACCATCCATGCAGACAGTGAAACCTCGTAGTTTCAGCTGTAGTTGTGCACTGCAAGTGTCATGCAACGTTTTTCTGATTCTCACACACGTCAGAATTTTTGAGAGGATCCACGCAGAGGTAATGATTGTTTATGTGTGTGTCTATTTGTCAAAAAGTGCTTTCATACATATCTTGTTCGCAGACATGCAAACCTTTCAGTTTGGTCAGAATAGCATGTGGGGGGTGGGAACCAAAGTGACCATAGTGTGGACCAAAGGACAAATGCTCGAAATTGAAGTAGACTTTTCGCCTAATAGAAGATTTTCCCAAGAATTGTTTGTGGTACTTTAGAAACTTCTTATCTCGCTGCTGTACAATCAAGTGTTCAGCTGAGATTGACTCAGGGTCTTTTACCTTGTATGTTCAGTCAGTGACTATAACCGGACGTTAAGGGCAGTTAGGTCCTCATCATACAGTTTGTTAGTCTCATCGTGTCGTTCCCTTCTCTCTCCTTCTGCACAACATTCAAAACTAAAGTCTTCTTATTCTACAGCAGCACTTCACTAGTTAACTGACAAGCATACACGAGTACTTGTGCAGACATTAATTTACATGCACGTACACATACCTGCATGCAAACAACCGTGAATGCCTGCAAGTGCCCACATGTGGAGCCTTACAGACACACACACACACACACACATATTCAAATGCCCCCCCCCCCCACACACACACACAAGTGTAACAACATTCAAAATGGTAACACACACACATCTTCACATGCCTGCAAGCTTACTCATAAAATAACGAATAAACACACACACACACACACACACTCACACACTCACACACTCACACACACACACACACACACACACACACACCTGTATAGACAACAGAGAGCAGCCGGTATAAGTGAAGCAGAGAAAATGCAAGAGTTGTTCTTTCCATAGCAAAGTTTCCCTGCAGCAAAGCACCATGGGAAACAGTGTGCTACGAAAACACCTGAGAGACCCTCGCCCAAAAAGTCTAAATTGAAATACTTTTCTTCTTGTTGTATTTGACAGCGACTGCAGCTGTGGTTCATATTTATATTTTTTCAGGTGAACGTTGAGCTTCGTCTTTGTCGTTTACTTTTGTTTGACGATGTTAAAATATTTAATCAAAGTCAATAAAGCTTCATTTGAATGAACAGAGTGAGAGAAAGGGAGCGGGACCACTTTAGCCCCTAAGCCACAGGGGGATCCAGTCAAGTGTTACGCAACCAAGCCATGCCAACACACACACAACCACACAAACACACACACACACACAGGCCAGCTGTCCCTGACTCCAGCAGTGAAAAATATCTCTCTTTTTGTCCATCTCTGCTTCCCTGTCTTTCTCTCTCTTCCTTTTTCTCTTTATCTGCCTCCGTCTCTATCTGTGTCTTTGTCAAAGCTTTTATACCACATGACCAAAAGTATGTGGACACACACCTGCCCCATTTAGTTCAAGTAAAGACACGGCTGTAGGAGTTTGGTGTGGACGGAACAGAGCTCGGACCTGAACCCATCCAAGACCTTTGGGACGAAGTGGAACCCCGACTCAGTGCCAAAGCTCATCCCTCAACATCAGCGCTGGACGTCACTGATGCTCTTGTGACTCAATGGGAGCAAATCCCTGCAGCCAGGTTCCAAAATCTGGCAGTTAAAGTGAAACCAGAGGAGCCGAGGCTGATTCAGCCGAACAGTCATCGGTTTGGACAAACACATATGTGATGTGTGTCCGAATACTTTTGACCGTACAGTGTATCTCATTTCCTTAAGTTTTATCTCTCCTCAGTTCTTCCTCTATCCCTTCACCCTCTTTCCTCATCCACATCTTCTCCATCACCCAGCACTTCACTCTCTCTCTCTCCCTATAACCATGTCACTCTACAGGGTCTCATGTAGCCAGCGGCACCTGTCGCCCCCTGGGGGTAACACACACACGCAGACAAACACTTGACTCGACTCTGTGTTCGTTGTTAGAAGTCTTGCAGTGTGTATAGGGGGCTTCCCACTTTTAACAATGGCAACACACACACACAAACACGCACCCGTATGCCAGCAACCTTCCCAGCAGGCCGAATGAAGACTGAGCACAATACCTCGAGTTCACCCTCATTAAAGACAATCCTGCCAGCCTCACACACAGACACACACACAGACACACACACACAGAGCAGTAGCTGGCTGTGCAGGTACAGCTGACAACAGCGGCTGACGTCAGCTCTTAAAGGTTACCATAAACTTCCCTCAGTGGAAAACACAGCAGAGCCAGGCTGATTACAAAAACTACAGTGTTTACCCCAAACGTCTGTTCATTAAAATTAACGAGCCAAACCTCAAAACACAAAGGTTATACCGGACCTTTAGTACAGACGATCAACACAATAATCCCACATACCTGATTCCTGGACCAGGGAAGGAACACCTGTGACATGGTGCCATAATCTCAGCCCTGAGGAGACAGAGAGGAGCAAATGAGGACAAAAGTTAATGATTCCTGTGTTCATGCTTCTGTTTTCATTACAATTGCCCAAATTTCCCCAAAGCTTCAACAATCACATCGCCGTTCTTAACATAAGATCGATGGTAAAAAGTTTACGGACTAAAGGTACACAAATCTTATTTTCGTTGATCTTGACAAAATTGAAACCATTTGCGCCATTTGAAAACTGGCACCAGCTTCTTTTGTACCACATTTAGATTTAGTTAAATTAGATTGATAAGTCTCATCATATGAAGCCTCACACGGGGCACCAAAACAAATATGTAGCATTTTGGCAGAGGCACCAGTACCTACTGGCAAGTTTTAATGAATTCACTAGTTATCAGTCTCAAACCCTCCAATGCACTGATCAAGACATGACATATGGATCCTATGATCGTCAGTGTCAAAGGCAGCAGTGGGTCTGAAGGCACCAGGATAGTTTCCTGAATGAAGAACTGTCTCTGCACTATGATGTGGTTTAGAACCAGATGGGAACATTTCATAAATGCCATGGTTATTTAAAGATGTTTGCAACTGAATAAAAAAAAACTCTTTCAAGGTGGTTTGGAATTTGCCCGAGGTTAGATTTGATTTTCTTTTTGATAAGACGTTTAAAAGTAGCTGTAACACACCCCAACATCAGAGAACAGAACTATTGACCTGAGTATTAAAGACCTCTTTGAGTATGTGAGAGTGAACTCTTCCTAGAGGGCGAATTGTAGGCCTCTGATAATAAGGCTAACATAAGATAATAAGAATGACACAGACTCAAAGTGATGGAGGTCAGCTGGGCACAGAGAAAGTCTATAGGGCGGAAAACTAGCCAACTCTTAAAGTTCAGAATAGGATCATCTCTGGGTAGCAGGTCAAAGTATAAATATGCATATTTTACCCTTTTGTTAATGGTGTTTACTTTTTTACATAATCCCTTTAAACACAAAAACAGTAATCATCTGATTATACAACATTAATCTATTATTATCAGTAATACGAGGTTGGACCTTGGTGATAGCCACCTGTCTCCCCCTCTATCTGTTTGTATTTCTGTCTGTCTGCTCAGCTGTTTGTCTCTGTGTGTCCTCCAGTTCAGGCTTGCCCCATGAAGCTAAAATTATTCGGGGCTGTCCCCACGGACGCTCCAGCTATGTGTCCGTTTCAGGGAAGCATACTTTGGTCCCAGGGACATCAGGAGTATCCAGTTTAGTGTTACAGAAGCAAACTACGCCAGTACACACAAACACACACACACACACAGCTACTAGGTCTGTGCCAGGGTTAAGGGGCAGAGCCGTCAATCACAGCCGACTGAGCCAAACTAACCCACCAGCCTAAATCTGTGAGTCATTTTTACTGATTCACGAGCCAACTACATTCTAAAAAAAAATGGTGCATCACATGACTGTTGGAGTCCAGGAACTTTACCAACATAAGAGTGTTAGATCAGAATCACAGTGAATAATGATCCTCTCCAGCCCAGATAAGTTTCTGGAAGGATTTCTCAAAGTACCAGCAAATTTCAGCCTCATTTGAGTCTAATCTTTTCCAACACACCCTGGCATCACACTCAGCACCACTTCCCTGATGTGTTTTCCAGCAAATTCTAGTAAAACTGCTTTTATCCATTTTAAAATGTGATTTGGGCGTCGTTTGTGCCTGTTCATCATTCATGTGTCATTTCGTCCACCTGCGAAAGAGAAGAAGATCCGTAGATCCGTGTGGAAATAAAGAAAAGATTATTTGAATCTGTGTTGAGATCCAGGAGCAAGATTTACAACTTACCGGGAGCTGTCCAACCTGGGCGGAGGCGCTCTATTATACCAGTGTAATGACATATTTGGGTCAAGATTGTGCTGATGGGATGGTTACGGTCCAACACCTAACTTGGCTCTGCCCAGAATGAAATAAATACACCTGACAACACCTTCAACGCTGAGTTATTGATACCGGTTTGGGGCCATCACACCTGCAAAGAGACCGAAGTTGAAATCTACGCTCACCAACCATATTTTGCTGCAAAGAATTTCTTGAAAACTACTGTACTTTAAGAGGTGGAAACAGCAGGGAACTTCATCGAGAACCTTAAAATTTACAAAATACAGGAGAATGGAACCCATGATTTCAAGAAACTCCAGGAAAGAAAGTAAATATCTGTGGAAATGTGTTTTATAAAACTGTTTTCTTTGAGGTCACCAAGATTTTATTTGTGCTGCCACAGAAGAGGAGGAGTGTCACAGGGAAATTTGTTGTGACAAAAACAATAAAAACACTAATCAATGAGCTAAATAAGCTTCATTAATCCAATAAGACTGGATTACGAGCGTACTCTCCCTTTAGAGACGGAAGAGACGCAAACATAATCATTTCCAGGACATGTGACTTATGAAATACATAATTATTTGCTGAAAAACTTGTGAGATAAGTGAAATGCATTGTGGGGAATGTAGTTTGTTTGTTGGTGTGCTCTTTGATGAAAACAATGAAAGAAGATTCAGACCCAGATGACGATCCGCTGACCAGAGCTCATTCTGTCAGACGTATATATTTTGAGGAGGAAGAATCTTTTTGGCTTCTTTAAAAAAAAGTTGCTGAGAAATTCAGTTTGTGTTACCTGTTGTAAATTCTGTCAGCTCTTCAGAAAAGCCTCAGGTTTGAAGTAATTGTGTTCGAACAATGTTGAGGTTTTTCAGCGAGTCCTTATTCGGCGTCTTAGGTCTTAATGGGTTAAGATAAAAACGTTCAGATTAACATCAGTAGTATCTGTTGAAAAACACGAAATCTGCAACGGAACCACGGTCGATGTAAAACTTCTATAAAAATGAAGCATTCAGTCATAACTGCAGCTCTGATAAAATCTAAAATGGAAATGTAATGTAAAGATCAAATTAAGAATCATTTTGTTGAGGAACTCTCCCCCTAAGCTGACATGAGAAGCTGCCAGCCTGGCTCTGTTTGTGTCAGTCCGTCAGCCAGCGCTTCGTTAACTAATTAGTGAGCTCGTTTATCTCATTAGGCTCTGATTGATCTGCCAGCTGATGGACTGGCAACCGAGCGCCCTGTGTGTGTCTGTTTTACGTCAGATGGAGCGAGCTAATCGATATTAACAAAGCAGGGAAGAGTTTAACTGTTACGCAACCTCATTATCTGGCAGTGACTGTGCAGGAGGGGGGGAAGGATTCCAGTGTTACACCAATGTCAGCAGAAGGGCAGCCTTTCCTGTTAGCTCAGATAGCACGGCGAGCTGGTCATCGGGTGATATCTGATGGTCAGGGCACGGCTGGATTCACACAACGTTTAACTGTGTGTGAGCCTGACACACACACACACACACACACACACACACACAATGTCAAACACTGCAACAAGATGAGTGTCAACATGTTGATATATTTATTATTATCATGAATTTCCTCTGTGAATTGACATTTTCCATCATCTATGAACCTTCAGCTAAATCTGACTTCCATTGTCTTAATTTGTTGTTGCATTCACTCATTTTTTCCCTAAGTTGTTTTTGCAGCTCTTATTTTTTCCATGAAATTAAAAGAAGGAAAAAACAATAAAATAAAGGAGTTGCAGTCAGCAGATGAGTCAGCCTCCGCTTCCCGACAAAAACAAAACAGAGCAGGTTGTTTACCATCAGGACGCAGACTCGGAGGAAAACTTAAAGCGTGACGGGAAAGCTTCATTAAAGCAGCGTGGGAAATTTGTTGTTGTTGTTTTTTTAATTCAGTCTTTATTTCTCTGGGGGGGAATTCCACACATTCCCACCTGGGAGCTGCCCCATATATCCACTGCAGACTGGGACCTGAACCAGGAACCTTGAGGACAGCAAGCCTGCTTCTGTCATCTTTGCCCTTTACACAGCAGAAAATGGTGCCAAATAAAAAAGCTCAGTATCCACTGTTAAATAGAAACTTGAATTTAAGTCAGCAATTTAAAGATTCCAATAGAGAAAATACTCTTATTATTACTCTACCTCCTACAGTACTGTGTTCAACAGTCATGATCACAACATCGATATTAAGACATTTCCCAGACTATTATCTATCTTATATATAATCTATGCTGAGCTCATTTTCTTTACTCATGTACTTTACACAAAACTAGTTTTCACTCTGCAAACGAACAGAACCACGGTTCAGTTTGATCCAGATCCAGAACTCCTCTTCTGGTCGGATGAAACTTTGGTGCGTTGGTCTGAGGAACCTTTTACACCTGAAGTCTATGTTCAGATTAAACTCTGAAGTCTGAAGGTCTGAACCAAACAAGGAGTGAAAGCCGGAGCTCAGCAGCTCAGCAGGAAGTCGATCTTGTTTGAAAGCTACCCCCCCCCGCTCCATTATGGTGCGGTGCCCTGAGCGTGCACACTTCTGATGACGTGCACTAATGAGGCTGGTCCAGGTAAACGCCATCACCCTTCATTATTACATCTGTATTGACTGCGGAGGAGGACGAGGAGCTTGAGGGGAAGTAGACGGGTTTTTAAGTATAAGACTTTACAGCAGAGGAATGGTTTGTGGATTCTGTATTTATACACACACACACACACACACACACACGCACAGTGTAGTTTTGACAGCCTGTTCACCTTTAGATTTCCCAGTGACGCAACAGCTTAGGGAGGGCAGGGAGAGGCCAACTGTAAAATTCTGGCTCCTCTACACACACACACACACACACACACACACACACACACACACACAC